ACTGCTCATGGCCAAGGCCTTGCGAGGGCATGGCCCTAGGCCTGAGCCCTTGACAGTAGTTTTTAACGAGAGTTAAGGCTGTTAAAAAAAGGTATTAAATCTTCTTTTCAACGAGAATTTTGACGTTTGGTTAAAATTAGGGTTAGGGTTGGTTATGTGATACTTTTTAGGCCTCCCGATGTAATTTACAGTGGTGGTTGAGAGTAGAGATACAATCGGCTTGGAATATATTTGCGAAAGATGTATTGCATGTGAGTTGTGGTGGGGCGATAAGGGATTTGAGCCAGTTCATCTACCAAACCTCCGTAAATAGTTCCGAGGGATGTGAGGAGTGGGGTTCCCGCATCGGATTTCCTGCCAAGTCATGTGACTGACCAATGGCGAGAGTCTCTTGTGGTTGGCCTCATTGCATTGAACATACCGAAAAAGAGGCCTACAAGCACATTAGAGGCGGGGGTTTGCATAGTTTACCCAGATGGTGCATTGGTGAAGCAGGTAGCCGCGGCCTAAATCACGCTTGAGGGAATTGGCGACCTCCCCCGCCCGACGGCCCTCATCTTTAATCGTTCCAGCCCGCGCCAGGCCCCCATCTCTTCCTCATAACTGCGATTTGCTTCCAGCATTCTTGTCCCCTATTTCTGACCCCGGGTGCATTTAGAATTGATATCCTGGGCGGCCTGCTTCTCGAATCAGAGCACCGCTAAAGTTTACAACATGGAAGTCCGGCTCGCAAATCTGCCACGGCAGTGGACCGATAGCATTCTGCGAAATCAACTCCAACCGTACCTTGATGAGCTGGCCATCAAGGACTTTGCGGTTGAAAAGCAAAGGAACAGGCCGATGGGGCACATTACCTTCCTCCACCACTCCCATGGTGTGAAATTCCTTCAACATCATGGGGAGAAACCCATAAATGAGCTGTCTTTCCAACAAACCCAGCAGCAGAAGCAGCAGCAGCAGCGGAAGAAGCAGGGTGGCCGAAAATATCCGCCCGCAAAAGCACAACTCAAGCTCGTCGGACAGTCAATCTACTGCCGGCTCAGTGACCGGAAACCCGACGAATTTGCGCTCAAGTCAATTCAACACGAAATAGAGGCTCGAGCGAACAGCGTGCGTGAACCAGTTGAAACTCCAAATAAAGCTTTTGAAGCCAGCAGATTGAGCTTGAGCTGCGGCTACTACAGCTTCCGGGACACCAAACTGGTCTTCACGCCCGAATGGTTGAGCTACGTGGGGTGGACTGTCAAGTTTACGAACCGAAGCCTGACTCTTTCAACCAACGGGGCTGAGACTCAAGCCCGTATTCCGTTCCAGAGCATAGTAGAGCTCGTGTGGTGGCACGATGGGAAAGCCACCGTTACGTTGTCTTCGCCGCCCATTTTCTTGGTCTGGGATAAGGATCAGCAGAATCATCGTCGGAAAGAATCCCTCTCCGAACCCCATAGGCAGATATCTCCCTACTGCCTCGTCTACCAGTTTCAGGTTCCCGTCTCAGTTACCAGACAAGGCCTCAACGATTTTCAAAAAGAGATGGGTCGGCTTGGGGACAAAGGATTCTTTCCCGTGACACGATTTGAGATCGGGCACCAAAGTCGACCTGATATTCCGATAGACCAAGGGGCCAGAAGCCTGCGCGACCAGCTCAACCAATATTCTCAAGTCAAAGCGCTGCCCTTTGACCTCCTGTTCCTTTTGCAAGCCTTAATGACGAATGGCTATCTGCATCCAATGACCATCTTGGCGCTGGCCGGGACCCTGGTGCGATACTTTGCAGAGCATCGCGACAAGGGGGACGGCGGCCAGCCACCCATATCCACCGACACGTTTCGAAAGCTGTTTGACTGGATTGACTATCCGACACCGTTTGGTGATCCGTCCATGTATGAGGTCGACGGCATTATGGAGTATCTGAAACAGAGTGAGGTAAAACTTCGCCAGAGCTCGGCACTCCGCGCCCAGCTCCTCGGAGCGACGCCAAACCGGGCGCGCATCTTCCGGGCGGTCGTCACGCCGACGCGAGTTACTCTGCATGGGCCGGAGCTAGAGCCCATGAACCGAGTGCTCCGCAAGTTCCCGGATCATTCATTCTTTGTCCGAGCCCAATTTTGCGACGAGAACGGCCAAGACCTTTTTTTGAACGCCCGAGTTTCCCTTGATGAAATTTACGAGCGGTTCAAGTCCATCTTGATCACAGGCGTGCCGGTAGCCGGTCGAGTGTACAAACTCCTGGGCTTTTCCCACTCTTCGCTGCGGGCGCACTCGGCGTGGCTGTCTGCCCCATTCTTCTTCCAGGGTCAGGTTCAGCTCCCGCAGCGCATCATTTCAGGCCTGGGCGACTTTAGCAAGATCACGTCTCCGGCGCGCCGGGCAGCCCGTATCGGCCAAGCATTTTCGGAGACACCGTGGGCCGTCGACCTCATTGAATGTGGCAGCACAACCGTATATATCCCAGACGTGGAACGGAACAACTACGTGTTTAGTGACGGCGTCGGGACCATGTCCCTGGGTGCCGCAGCGGCCGCGTACGACATCATCCCGGAATCCAAAGGCTTCCCGACCTGTTTTCAGATTCGATGGGCCGGTGCTAAAGGCATGCTGTCCGTGGACCCGTCATTGCCCGGTGTCCAAATCTGCATCCGGCCATCCATGGTCAAGTTTGAAAGCAACGAAACCCGGCAGCTCGAGATTTGCGACACGGCCAAGCCAATGCCCATGGTGCTGAACCAGCAGATCATCAAAATTCTCGAGGACATGGGTGCGCCGAGCGACTGGTTCCTGCAGCTTCAAAGTGAAGAACTACGCCGACTCCGTGGGATTGCTGCGACCGTGTACAATACGTCCAGCTTTCTCCGGTCGCAGAAGATTGGCGAGAGCATCCAACTCTACAAATTCCTTCGTCAGACGGAGGATATGGGCATCGACTACCGCCGAGACAACTTCCTACGAGGGGCTGTCGAGGTTGTCCTGCTGCGAGAGCTCCGCCTTCTCAAAGCCAAGGCCCGGATCCCCGTACGGAACGGCATGACGCTGTTTGGCATCATGGACGAAACAGGATTCCTAAAAGAAGGGGAGGTGTATGTGACGTTTGACACTGAAGACGGCCGCCACCAAGCGCCTCCTGGCCCAGGCAAACTCCTCGTGGCGCGATCCCCGGCTCTGCATCCAGGGGACATCCAACTCGCCGTCAACAGACTGCCGCCAAAGCACCACCCGCTTGCCCAACAGCGCAACTGTATCATATTTAGCCAGAAAGGGGCCAGAGATCTTCCCGGGCAGCTTAGCGGCGGTGACCTGGACGGCGATGTCTTCCACATACTCTGGGACCGAGAGGTAGTGGGTGCTGTAAAGACCTTTCCTCCCGCCGAATACCCACGGGTCGGACCAGAGGTGAAGGAGCCGGAGCCCGGCGATATCGAGGCTTTCTTTGTAGACTTTATGAGGACTGACCACCTCGGAGTAATCGCCAACCGCCATAAAATTCTGGCGGACCAGAGAAAGGACGGCACACTGGATGCAGACTGCATCAAACTCGCCGGGTTACACTCTTCTGCCGTCGACTTCTCCAAGACTGGGCGGCCCGTCAAGATGTCAGACTTGCCCAAGAACCCCGCATGGCGGCCAGATTTTCTCGCCTCCAGCCCTTCTATCACGATCCATGACAAGTCGGAGATCGAACTCGATGATCATATGGCCCCTCGGGATGACGATAACGATGATGACGAGGGACCACGCCATAAGTTCTATAGGTCGGAGAAGCTTCTCGGGCAGTTGTATCGTAACGTCGACGAGCGAAAGATCTGGGCCGAGGATGTTAAGATGGCCGGTTGGGACAAGGGGCCGTCGTTCTGGAGCCGCCTGCTCGAGGCCTTGGATCAGCGAACGGCCAGGCTAGGCCGTGTTGTGAGGTGGAAGCACCGGCTAGAAGTCGCCCGTCAGCTTCTCCATATGTAAGCATGGTTTCTGCTGTTTTCTCCCCTTTCCCTCATGTGTCCCTCCCTAATCCTGCCGAATACCCCTGTAATTTTCTCTCCTACTTCCTTTTGCGTTCTGCCACCCATTGCCCGAAGTCTTTCTGACCCGTCTAGCTACGAGGACGTGATCTACGGCGCGATGATCGACTTCGCCGACCAGCCACATCAGCCACTGAGAGAGCTGGAGGTATTCGTGGGGTTCATCCTGAACGGGAGTGGTATACAATCAAACCGGCAACGGGACCGATCGGTCAAGCTCAGGGACGAGTTTGAGCGCATCTCGGCGTTGGTCACGCGGGAAATGCGCCATCCGGCCCCGATCGCTGGGAGTGTAGTAGGGGAGCTCGATGGTCTGGAGATGTGCATCGCATGTTTGTTTGTTGGGTGCGACAAGAAGGAAGTAGACAGCCAGAAGTTTCGCAATTCGCCGAAGAACATTGAAAGCTTCAAGATTGTGGCCGCCGCCGCCTTGATGCGTGAGTTGACGGCGGCCGAGTCCAGGAGCCAGATCGGACGGGGGTATGGACTTGGCGGAGGGGGGTACGTGGGCGTCGGTGGTGGTCGCGGTGGTCGCCCGAGGGTGTTCCCCGATCCGAGGCAACGAGGGCCAGATGCGGAGACGGTTGGGCTGTCTGCTGCGACTGATTTTCCCACGCTGCTTGCAGCGGAGATGGCGAGAGTTCAAATTTAGGGATTCGGATCCGATTTTGAGTATTTGATGTTCTGGAATCTTTTACTTTTTTGCCCCCTTTTCTCTCTTTTTTTCTCTCTTTCGGGAATTTACGGTTTTGGCTATGAGGCTCCATATCATACGAAGTTCATGAATTTCCCTGATTCATCAATTAATACAGTCAAACTTGCTGTGCACTCGAAATCGTTCAAGAAGTGACTTCCGTGCTCGGGGCTTCCATAAATCTTCGCTTTCTCTTCTTCAAAATTCCTTACTCTGACCTTACACGTGAAACATTTCCTTCCCCTCCATGGCCTTCATTCTCCTCCCAGTCATTGCTTTCAGTGGTCGCTCTTCCACAGCCAAGAGGTTCCATCTCGCAGCAGCCCAAATGTTGAAACCGGAATCTCGCATCTGCCAAGTTCCAAACGTCGTGTCGACGGGAATCACGGCCGGAATCCCGAGTCTTCAACAACTTTCCCCGGGCCAAGAGGAAAGAGATCTAGAGATCGAGCCACCCCTTTCGTTGCCCGGGGCCTTGGGCGCCTTTCCCAGCTGCTTGTTTGGTGGAAGAGAGGATCGAAGACACCGTCGAAGCGTGACCAAGATGCGCCAGGCTCCAAAAGCGTCGCCCTCCTCGAGGCGTTGGTGCAGATCATATCCAGAGTGGTCGATTGCCAAGGCGGCGTGAGTAAAAGACAAAAGGTTGGCAACCAAGTCGGGCAAACACCATGACACACCATCACGAGGAATGCCCAGAGATTTATAGTGTCCCACCCAGATGAGGCGTTGTGTGTCCGTCGAGGCCCATGAATCGGAGGTCGCAGGTCCGCGCGTGGCAATCTCTGGGGTAAATTCCCCGGCGCGTTCGGTCAAGGTTTCAAGGGAGGCCCGGGTCGTCCACAACCAAGAAACAGCCAATCGACGCCGACATGTCCGGGCCAGGGGGAAACCTGCAAATGAGCGTCATGCCCGCGTTGGCGTCGGCACAAGTGGGAGGGCAACCGGATGCAACCGACGGTGACAGCCAAGAAGAACGAGTTTAGAAAAGCCCAAGCCATTTCCCCCAACATTTCCCCAACTGCCGGCCCCGTCGTCCACCAAATGCCGTCCACTTCCGTCCAGTGCCGTCTAGTCCCGGGACCGGCCAATGGGGCCCCTCGTGGGCCTGTCTCGGCGCTGCTCGGGAATATTGGGGCAGCTTGGCGGACCTTGGCGGCGTGTGTTCGGTGTGGGCGGCCAAGAAAGGGGGGCCACGGGGGGTGTGAGGGGCCGAAGAATTGTTGCGGAGGTCCCAGATTCTGTGGAAATTACATGCCCCCCTCCGGCCTGACCTCAACCTCCTCCTGCTTGTCCCCCGAGTCGATCCCTCCGAGTTTTCCGTCCTCTTCTTTACTGTGTACTAAATATGTAGTTTAGGTCTTCAGGAGTGTACGGATAAGTCTTACGCCCCCGAGAGTTCTCCCCCTCACTTTCCTTTGCTTGGCTTGCTTGGCTTTGCTCCTTCTCATCGCCCCCTCCCTCTCCAACATCAGACACGGCTGCGGAACGCAGTCTCCGTCCTGGGCATGTAGATCCCGACCCGAAAAAAGGTAGATGGCGGCGCCACCCCCGGGATGATGTCCGCGCGCACACGGCGATGACAGTCTGCCAATACCACCACCGAGACCTTTCACGAACAAGTACATACATAGTAACTAGCATCAAAGTGCAGATATCAGGGGCAGCCTTGGGGCAATGTCTTGGAAGGTCTTGGTGTGGTGACGGTGGCGGCTACCCCAGATTCTGTCCCCAGGCACGCTCGGCACGCTTAATCTATCCTGTCGTTGTGGGTGTCGTCGAGGTGTCTTCGCGAAGGCTCGGCATCGCGAGGCCAAGACTGCCTGCGTCTTGTCTCCCGATGAATCTCGAGAAACCGTTGGTTCAGGTTGGCAAAGCAATTACCACGCGATGGAGATGTGGTATGGAAGGTCGGCTCACTCTTCCATTGTCCGTGATGAGGGTGCTTTTCCAAGTCCGGACGGGCTCCGGCTCCGTGATTGCCTGTTGCCTTTTTGGATTTGTCCATCCAACCTCCAAATAGAATTCCCATCTTTCTCTTCCAGGGTCTGATGGAAAGATATAAGGAGGTTGATGGACGCCCTGAAGTCTGAGTTATTTGTCGACCACCAGCATCAAGCAGCTCCCTGCCTTGTCCACTGAGCCTTGCCTGTTCTTACCTCTCTGGTTTCATCCTTTTCTCCTTCCAACTGCCATCATGATGATGAAGCAGTACCTCCATTACCTGGCGGCCGCTCTGCCCCTGGCCAACTTCGCCGTGGCCCAAAAGGCCGGCAGCCAGCAGACCGAGACTCACCCTAAGCTCACCTGGAGCAAGTGCACCGGCCCCGGTGCTTGCACGACGGTCAATGCCGAGGTCGTCATCGATTCCAACTGGCGCTGGCTCCACGATGCCGACCAAAAGAACTGCTACGACGGCAACGAGTGGACCAGCTCCTGCTCCACCGCCGACGACTGCGCGGAGCTGTGCGAGCTCGAGGGCGCTGACTACGACGGTACCTACGGCGCGTCGACCTCGGGCGATGCCCTGTCTCTCAGCTTCCTCACCAAGCACGAGTATGGCACCAACATCGGCTCGCGCTTCTACCTCATGGACGGCAGCGACAAGTACCAGATGTTCAACCTCCTGGGCAACGAGTTTGCCTTTGACGTTGATCTCTCCACTGTTGAGTGTGGCCTGAACAGCGCCCTGTACTTTGTCGCGATGGAAGAGGATGGTGGCCTCGCGAGCTACCCCTCCAACACGGCCGGTGCTAAGTACGGCACTGGTGTATGTTTTCTTTTTCTTTTTTTTCTCTTTCTTTCCATATTTTCGTACCTTTGGTTCATGAAATCGCTCATCTGCTAACCCCAACAGTACTGCGACGCGCAATGCGCCCGTGACCTCAAGTTCGTCGGCGGCAAGGGCAACATTGAGGGCTGGAAGCCGTCCACCAACGACCCCAACGCTGGTGTCGGCCCAATGGGTGGTTGCTGCGCCGAGATCGATGTTTGGTCAGTACCTTACGATGAAACCCAACCTGTCTGTGTGCCATACACTTACCCGAACCAGGGAGTCCAACGCTTATGCGTTTGCCTTCACCCCGCACGGGTGCGAGAACAACGACTACCACGTCTGCGAAGAGAGCACCTGCGGTGGCACCTACTCCGAGGATCGCTATGGCGGTGACTGTGATGCCAACGGCTGCGACTACAACCCGTACCGCATGGGCCACACCGACTTCTACGGCCCAGGCCTGACCGTCGACACCAGCAAGGTGTTCACGTACGTCTTTCGCTCTCACACAGTCTCCATAGGCTTGCCTATCATACCTACTCAAAACAACACATGGCTAACCCTTCTTGTGCAGCGTCGTGACCCAGTTCGAGGAGAACAAGCTCACCCAGTTCTTCGTCCAAGACGGCCAGAAGATCGAGATCCCTGCCCCCACTTGGGAGGGTCTCCCGACCGACAGCAGCTCCATCACCCCCGAGCTGTGCTCGGCCTTGTTCACGACCTTTGATGACCGTGACCGCTACTCGGAGGTCGGTGGCTTCGACGCCATCAATGACGCCCTCTCCAAGCCTCTGGTGCTTGTCATGTCTATCTGGGATGACGTGAGTTCCCTTTCCTTCCCACCTCTATCCAACCCGTGCCTATCTGCCGGGATACCAACAAAAATACTAACTGCTTCTAGCACTACTCCAACATGCTCTGGCTCGACTCCTCCTACCCCCCTGAGAAGGCCGGCACCCCCGGTGGTGACCGTGGCCCTTGTGGCCAGGACACTGGTGTCCCTGCCGATGTTGAGTCCCAGTTCCCTGATGCGTACGTCAAGATCTTTCCCCGAAAGAACGAAAAATAAAAGGAAGCTATGCTAATTATATCCCCCGTAATACAGCAAGGTCATCTGGTCCAACATCCGCTTCGGTCCCCTCGGCTCTACCACCGAGTGAGTCGCAGCAGCAGCGAGACACGCCTTTGGAACCGAGTCATAGTACCCCGTTCCTCGGCCGAGCTTGGACACTGTCGTTTTCTTCCCGGGTCTGCCCGGCTTCGCACCTGTGTATCTTGGGGTGGAAAGTACAAAGTAAAATTGTTCATGTCAATATTTGGAGAATTTACATATTACCAAAGTATGAACTGTGATGTTTTGGCCGCCGGATTTGGCAGTGACTTCCCAGTGTTCCCACAGTCGATTTGCGATTTGGCCCAACATTCGAAATCTCAACGAACAGCAAACAAACGAAGGACAAAGTGGTTGTTGGCTTTTCCATGTCTCGAAGAGTGGTCTTCTCTGATTGGTTAAACGGCTTTACTGTATACATGTTATATGCAGACTACCTGGTATCTTCTCCAAGGCCGGCCGAGCTGTTTCCCTGCTCCACGCCCTTTCGTCTCTGGAGCAACCGTCACACCGCTTTGACTTTTTTTAACTGATCCAGCAACTCAACAACGGCAAAAGCTGCTTCGCATCAACCCCTGAGATCCAATTCACCACTTTGCGGAACGATGGAGTCAGAATCATCATCAGTCCAAATTCCGCCATTCTTCTCAGACACACCCATGCAAGGCGACCCCCCTTGCGACTGGGCTGATTTCCTCTCGCCACAACTTCGACGTTTTCCCCGCGCCTACAATAAGGTCACGATGCGGAACAGGCTTGGCCATGGAATTGAGGGATGTGTGGCTAGAGTTAAGTTCGATGACGACGAATCATCGTTCGCCCTCAAGATTGTATGTGGTGACCGTGGAGCAACTCTGTGCATCTATAATTACCAGCCTCGAAGACCGACTGAGATGGACGCCCACAGTCTTTTCGTACCCTCCCAGATGGAGACCGCCCCAATAGTTGGTGGCCGCTAGAGCGAGAGGCCCGGAACGTCGCGGTCCTGGAGAAGATACAGGCCGGCATCCACCAGTCCTCGCCGGAACCCATCCACGTCCCCGCCAAACGGACGACGCGGCTTGACTGCCTGCGCTGTCTTTACGCCTTTTCAGCCGACGGCCGGCGCTCACGCGATTTTGACGCGCTCCCGGACGATTCCAAGGTTGCAGTTTCCGAATCTGACACCCGGCTCCGCAAATGCTTCGGGTGGATCCGCGTTCAAGGAGCTGATTTCATGCGCATGAACAGCATAATAAAGATAGACGAGTATGCCAGGCGGAAAGGTGAGGGATCTGCGAGCTACCTTGAATCTGGCGCACAGTACTACGCCATTGTGTACGAGTATGTCCCCGAGGCAAAGCTCGAGTTTGACCCAGTTTAGAGCCAGTTGGACTTCTTCTACCGCATTGGATTTCACCCGTGTCAAGGGCTGCACAAAGTGAATTGGCAAGGGCCCGGCATTCTGCTCGATTTTGGTGACTACAACTCTCCAGTCGATCCCTGGTTCGAGGCCCGCTGCGCTTACCACAAGCACACTACGGCCGAGTACATCATCGATCGAACAAAGGCTCTAGAAGAATCATCCGCAGAATGGGACCGAATCAATAACTTGCGCGATCAAGGCATTGGACCCACGGAAGAAGAGAAGCAGAAGCGAGAAAAGGAGAAAGCTCAGTCTAACACAGCAAGGTTCGTCGAGTATGGCTATGATGAACATCAACGATATTTATCCTACTCTGAATGTAAGGCCTGGGACGGCGGGAACCCTCAAACAGGTCTGGGATTTTAACTGACTTATGGTGCAGTGACCAACGAAGAAATCCTCGAGAGGAAGCTCGAGCTGGATCCGCTCAGTCAGATACGCATCAACGGGGTAGAGCCAGAAACGGTGATTCTAGCGTGGAAAACGTACAAAAATCAGAAAAAGAAACACCTCGCTGCTTTTGGACCAAAGACTGAAACCAAGGAAGTCTGATGTGGTTCATTAGTGCGAGGAGACGCAAGAGTCTCTGATTTGTGAATTGGAGAGATTTTGGTATCAGAACCCTGACTGGCTCGCAATCAGCCGCTGACTGACTGTAACCC